CATCAACTTTAAATACTTAGACTCAATTCAACAATGCTCCAAACACAAGTCATTTTTAATGCACAAAAACAACAAGACAGGACACGCATACAGCCACACATACATATACACACTCATATGCCGCAGCCAAAACTGCTGACGCTGACGCATTTATCACTGCGCTGCTTTGGCCGCCAACGACAACGGCAACAGCAATATCAAGAACAAGAACAAGAACAAATGAACGAAGGAAGAAGCCACCGCAACAACAAACAATAGAGCTAGCCAATGTGCGCTGTGTGGTATGGTTTGCTTTCGTATGGAGCAGAGGAGAATGCAGCGACGCTGCGGGGCAAACGACGCTCAACAGTCGTCGACGGCGCGCATTGGGAGTCATTGATTTTCGTTTATGAGCGCGACGGCGACGCGCTCTCACTTTTTATACGTTCATTCACACGGCGCACAGTGGGACTGTTTGTATGGAATGTTAATGATACAACAGACACACCATTTAGGTAGCATTGCAAGAGCGCATGATATTGTTGTTGTGTTTATAATTTTGGGATAACAGAATATCGAATTACCAAATCAATAGTTGAAAGATAGCTGCTAATAATAGAATAGTAATAAAAACTAGTATAAGTAATAATACTAGTTCAACTATTAATGCTAAATACTAAAAACATCATTAGCATTCATTTACTTTGTGATAAGTGTGGCCACTGTGGCTGCGTTGCTGTGTCTGCTTTGGCAAATGCAAAGAGTGTACGAGTATACGACGAGCAGAAAAAGAGAGCGTGCGCGCAAAAAAAAAAAAAAAATAAGAAACACAAACACACACAAGCGCAAAAAAAAAAGAAAACACAAAACAGACACAGTTAGCCAGCGGCAACGGCGGGGCGTTAGAGGCAAACGAAACTTAAATATGTTATTGATAATTAAATTGTTGCTGTAGCCTTAGCTTAGATACAGCTGTGTCTGTCTGTATGTATATGTATTTATATACATAGTTACGTATGGGAAACAGCTCCTACTAGTTCATGGGGGCGACGCGTCTGCCTTTTGGGATTTGTGCTTTTGTTTGGCTTTAACGCGACTTTGGCGAATTGTGTGAGAAATGCAGACATCGCGACAGCGTCGGCTGCTGCATATGCGTTGACGTTGACGACGCCATTGCTGTTGTTGTTGCTGCTGATGTTTTTTTTTTTTTTTTTTTTTTTTGTTTCTGCTTTGGCAGTGGGCAGTTTTCGTTTTCGTTTCGGCACCTTTTGTTGTTCGTGTGTGTTTGCTTTTGCTGTTCAGAGTATCTGTTCTGCCTCCCCGCCATGCCTCCGCCCTATCCTAAGAACCTATGCAGCAACATCAATAACAGAAAAGTAAAGAAATAAATGTAAAAAAGTATATTAACAAAAAATTAAACACCATCTTGAAATTAAGCGCGATGATTTCTTTTTGCTCAGTGGCCGCAGGTAGTTGCTTACGCTGTCGCTGTCGCTGACACAGCCAGCGTCGCAGTCGCTGTCGCTGCTTCTGCTGCTGGTAACTCTGCGTGCGTCAGCCGCATTTGTGTGTTTGTGCGAGTTACGATTTTTGTTTTGTACTTTTGGGCTTATCGTGCAGCAAATTGAAAGCAATAAATATTTAATTGTTAGGCCTGCTTAATTACGTAATTTGAATTTATCTTTAAAGAATGCCGTTCGCTGCAGCACAGCGAAATCGAAATGAAATATCGGTGCGAGCGAGATAGCTTGTGTGGGACAAGCACAGCGGCCAGGGGAAACAGCGAAGACAATGCAGGGTCAATGCAATGCTAAAGGATATGCATGTAGACACTTTTATATATATTTACATGTGTATGTACGTGTATATGTGTGCTTGTGTGTAGCTGTATTTGACATTGAACTACAAGCGAATCAGTTCATTTGTAGCACTCCACTGATGATTACTTTTGCAAATAAACAGTTATTCATCAGTACGTATGCATGTGTATGCGTTTGTATGTGCGTATGTATTTGTACATTGCAAGTAAAAGTTTGAGTTATATAGATAATAAGTACACACGCCTGCAAGGTCGAGGAAAATAAAAACAAAACAAAAAAAAAAACAAAAAACAATTGCCGTACATCTCTTTCTCATTTTCGTTGTTGCCACAGTTCCTCATCATAATAAAAACGAAATGAGGTTAGTTCACATTTTTTTTTTGTGTTTTGTTTCTTATATATTTTATGCGCGCCAAAGGAAAATCTTCTAGGTTAAATAAATAAACACATACACGCATACATACATATGTATGTACGTACATTCGTATAAATTGGCGCGGTTGTAGTTTGTGTTTTTTAGGATACAGTTATTTCTATGTGTTGCTGTGTTTCTTCTTTCATATTTGGGTGCCCACTCAATTCACTGTTAAACACATTTTGAGTCATGGCGGTTAACAAGAAAATTGTATTATGCATTGTTTATCACTGAATTCCATTTTGTGCTTTTATATTTTCTTTGTATTTTGGAAACTCAAGCAAAGCACAAATTGTTTCAAGGAATTAGAAGCCAACGCAGTGGCAATTAATAACAAGAAAATAGCAACAACCAAAAACAGCTTTAATAATCATAATAATCAAGACGCTCTCTTCAAGCGTGTTGTTGTGTGTGCTTGGAAGAGATTACGCTGGCTAAGCACACAAACCCAAATAAGCACACACAGACACACATATACACTGGCATAGGCATAAATTAAGAGAGTGCCAAAACTGACCTCAAGTTTTTACTCGCGCACACATATCCACATGCAACTTGCATATTGGGAACAGTTCATAAGCATTTGCATTTGCCAAAAAACAAAAGCAAGAACAAATTACATACATATATTGATAGAGTCGCCGCCATTTGTCATGCGCCTGACTGGCAGCTTAATAAATGCTGCCGCTAACGGTCTGTAGCGTCTGTCGCTTAAGGCCAGTCACTTTTTACATAATAAAAACAAAAACACACAGCAAAACCGAAGAGAAGAAATAATGCAAGCATCTATGTGTGTGCGTGTATGTGTGTATGTACGTACATGTACGTGTATGCAAAAAGGAAACTATAAAATTTATGCTCATTGGCCGCAGCGTCTGCCAAAGCGCGTGCCAAGCCGCCGGAGCGACAGGCGACAAAATACAACACAAGAGGCTCTCAAATTTTTGCCAACTGTCCACCCCCACCTGCTGCCCTTTGCTTTGCTGTTGGAGCTAGCGACGCGTGTGTTTGCGTTTCGCTTCCGTTACAAATGGTAGCAGAGGCAGTGGCAGCGGCAGCGGCAACCAGCAGACAAACAACAAACACGCTAAGAAAATGCCCCACACACAAATACACACCCAATGCCAAAATCTTGCATATCACACCGACTTTCGTGGAAACACACACAAACACACACTCATATATATATAAATATAACACAGCACGCACGTACGCCATGCACTGCGCTCTTTATATTTTATAGCAACACTCTCTTTACGCTCTTAGGCTGGCGCTTCTGCTCTGCTCAGCTCTGTTCGGCTCAGCTTAGGTTAGCCGACGTCTCTGCTGGCTGCTACTTCCGTTTGTACGTGCGGCTGCGATGCCGCCAGAGACCGAGCCGAAGTAGCTTGAACATCTGTGCGCGCTGCCAACGACGACGTCGCCGCTGGCAGGCAAATAAAACAGCCGCTGCCTCTGCCACTGCCACTGCCGCTGCTGCTGTCGCTGTCAGTGCTGATGCCAGCCAGCCAGCCAAAGCCCGTGCGCTTCATTCATTCAATTTTCAGTTCACATCGAACGCGAGAACTGTGCGGACGTGCAAGCGGCAGCGGCAAAGTTCGGCCTAGTAACACAAGTAACGCAACAACAAAATCCACGCGCTCCCCAACTTACACGTTCCGCGCGCTCTCTTTCTCTCACTCTCTGTCTTTTACTCATTCACGCAACCTCAACAGGCGCCTATAATTTTAG